GTCCCTCCCAGCTCCTGGCTGGTCCGGATGCTGCTCCTGGGGCTGCGCTTTGAGACCCCAGAGCGCAGGTGTCTGGGGGTGGCTGGGCGCACACCAGGGTGCAAGCCACTGCCACTCCTGTCTGGTCTTTGGTTTGGGCCAAGTCCAGGGGTGTCCGGTCCCGGCAATGGAAAGAGTCTAGCCTGATCCAGTCGCCGCGGAGGCCCCGGGGCCCCTGCCCGGCTCCCAGCGGGTGGAGAGGAAGCCGCCGCAGCGCATCCCAACAGCAGGACGCGGTCCCACACGAGGTGGTCGGGGAGCTAAAGAGCCTCCGCTGTTAGACATTAGACCACGGGGACCGCGCCCTGGGGTTCATCCAGGGCCAGCCCAGGGGCCCTCACACTGAGTCCTGCCCAGGGACGGGGCTGGCAGAGGTGGCCTCCGCCGTCCCGGGAGCCTCCCTACCTGGAGCCCCGCGTACAGGACCAGCAGCGGCAGGATGGCCACCAGGGCCAGGGGCGTGGCTGTGGACACCGCCAGGCCCGCCTCCAGGAGTCCGAAGGCAGAGATCAGCAGGGCCCGGGCCTTGTCGGGGATGTCCACGTCCACGGTGTCCATCTCCTTGGAGAAGCGGTTCAGCAGGTTCCCCACGGGCGTCCGCTCAAAGAAGCCRATGGGTGACCGGGCCACGTCCCACAGGAGCCCCCGGAAGAGCAGGCGGGACGCCCGGACGCCGCCCAGCACYACGGCGGCCGTGGAGGCCAACAGCCCGACGGCTGCAGGGAGAGAAGGCAGCGCGAGGCCGAGCCCCGGGGGCCCTCCCCGGGCCACCACMGTGTGACCCCGCCTGGATGAACCCCCCTTCCAGGGGGTCGAAGAGCGCCCCCCCAGATTCCCGCCGACCCAGAACTTCAGAGGGAGCCSGATTGGGAAAGAGGGTCTTGGCAGATGTCATTAAAGACCATCCCGGACTTGGGACGGGGCCCACGGAATGTCTGGTGTCCTTAAAAGGGGACAGTGGACACGGGCAAGAGGATGTGAAGACAGAGGTGGACACGTCCACCAGGCAGGGGCGTGGCAGCCACCAGCGATGGTGGGTCCTCCCTTGAGTGGGGGGGTGGCGACACCAAGGATAAAACTGCATCCTCGTGAACACGTCCACGTCTGCAGGTGACCCTGGGCACCTCTGAATACGGTCAGGGCACTGCCCAGGCCAACCTCCCTGCTGGGACAAGCGGTCATTCCGCAACACGTCACCACCAGGAGAAGTCAGGCGGAGGGTGCGAGGGTCTGTCCCCATTATATCTTACAACTGCGTGTGAACCTGCAGTCGCTGGAGCAGAGACTTCATTTTAACTAATTGATTTGGGTACAGGGATTGAGCCCAGGGGTGCTTAACCACCGGGCCGCAGCCCCGACTCATCTTAGTTTTTATCTTGAGACARGGTCTCGCTAAATTGATCAGGGTCTCGATAAGTTCATTAGGGCCTTGCTAAGTTGCTGAGGCCGGCCTCAAACTTGCAATCCTCCTGCCTYAGCCTCCCGAGTGGCTGGGATTCCAGGTGTGCACCGGCACCTGGCGGGATTTCAACATTTGAAGAAAGGGGAAGATGGGCGGTGACAGTGGCCCTGGCGTGTCTGTGAGGACGGGTCTGGCTGGGGAGGGGACAGAGCTGCCCTCTGCATGTGAGGAGCGGCTGGGAGAAAGTCTGAGGATTCCAGAAGAGGTTGGCTGTGTCCTGTCTTAGGGAAACAGGTCTTTCTGGGTCCTGGGACAGGCTACACGGGGGACAGGGAGACCCACGCCGCAGAGCAGGAGGCCGAGGAATGGGGCACGCGGGCGAGGGGTACCTTGGAGGCAGCCGAGGAGCGCGAAGACCCAGCCCCGCAGGGCCGTGTGCTCCTGCCGCCCGGCCTGGATGGGGTCGTCCGCCCACAGGCTCAGCCAGTAGCCCTGGCAGAAGGAGGCCGTCTGCTGGCACAGGAAGAGGAAGAGCGTGTAGGCGCAGAGCGGGGCGCCCACGGCCCGCAGGTAGCTCAGGTACACGGCGGCCTTCACCTGCAGCACACGAGGCCGGGGCGGGTCAGGCAGGCGGGGGACGGCGGACCTCAGTGCTCCCCAGGAGGCCACCCTCCTGCCGGCCTGGGGACCCCCCTCTGCTGTGGACCCCAGGGGCCTCGCGAAGCTCCGAGGTGGCCGTCCGGGTGAGCTCCGGTTGGGAAGATTTCCTGAACACCTCCTTGGGGACAGGCACGTCTCTCTGCTCACTCCAAGAGGAGGACCCTGAGGACAGGGCRTGTCCCTCCTCCATGGCCCAGACCCTGCCCCGGGCGGAGAAGCAAATGGACCAAGAAGGAGTGAATGGGCGGGTGGGCAGATGGATGGATGGATGGATGGAGGGACAGGTGGACAGACAGACGTATGGCTGGGTGTTCAGAGGGTGGGATGGGGTGACAGAGGGTGGGGGACGAATGGGAGTGGGCACAGGGTGCAGGTGGGTAGATGATGAGGTGGACAGGCAGAGAGGCCCAGGGAAGGGAGGAACAGCCGGAGCTCTGGATCTGGGCTGCCCTAGATTTCGGTCCCGGGTGGGCCAGATGGACAAGCCCTTCACGCTCTCAGACCTTAGTTTCTCCGTCCCTGAAACGGACCTGTCCCTTCTCGGGGCGGCTGACAGGACGGAGAGTCACAAGGGTCTGGAATCCTGCTTGGACTCAGCAGGTGCTCAATAAAGGTCACTGTCCCCTCCGGCCCCCGCCCCGTTCCGTGCAGCATCTGTGGGGACCCGGGCCTGGGAGAGGCAGCCGCTGGTGGTTACCCGGCCTCGCTGCACGCTGTCCTCAGCTGCCRGCCACCCTGCCCTCTCAGGGTCATCTTGGAGAACGGTCATCTGGCCTTCAGAAGTGGTGGCGTCCCCTCCAGGGGTCGACCTGACGGACCTGTCATTTAGCAGGAAGGAGGACGCGTCAGCCACTCTCCCGTGGTGGGGCCACCCAGCCCAGCACGTGGGTGCCACCGAGCCCTGGGGCTGGCTCCCAGCTGCCCCTGTCACCCCTGTGGGCCATGCTAAATGCCATCTAGGTCCCCGAGTCACCAAGCCCACTCTCCAGAGCAGACCTTGTTTTCATTTTTGCCTAAGATTTGCTGCAAAAATTTGATTTGCTTCTTCTGTTTCCTCTAAGACTTGTCGGTCCAGCCTGGCAGAAGGCTGCACTGCACAATTCAGATGATAAAGAATTTTTTTCTTTTATTTTCTCTCTCTTTCCTTCTTTGTCCCTCCCTCCCTCCCTCCCTCCCTCCCTCCCTTCTTTCCTTCCTTCCTTCGTAGGACCCAGGGACGCTCTACCACTGAGCTGCACCCTCAGCCCCTTTTATTTTGGGACAGTCTCACTAAGTGGCCGAGGCTGGCCTCAAACTTGCAATCCTCCTGCCTCAGCCTCCCAATAGCAGGGATCACAGGTGTGGGCCTCTGTGCCCAGCTGAGGCTCCTTGAATGTTCATGTGAGGACGAGGGGCTGACTTAGCCACTCTGTGCCTCGGTTTCCCCAGCTACACAATGGAGATGACGTCTGTCATGTCTCATCCATGTGCCCACCTGTGACCTTCCATTTGGGGAGTCATCCATTGGTCCATCCATCCATCCATCCAGCACGTCTCCCCATCCACCCACCCACCCACCTACCGGATCTTGCTGAGGACTCTCGGGTGGGGTGGGGAGGGGGCCTGGGCCCAGTCTCCTACCCCCAAGGACCACAGACCCTCAAAGCCCCCTGCATGTCCCCCCACCAGCGGGCACCAAAGTCCAGGCGCCTGGCGCCTCCTAGGAAGGGCACCGTCAGGTCCTCTGCTCACRCCCCGGGGGAGTCCCATGGGCCCTGGCTGCAGGGGCTGGGAGCAGAGCTCCTCCTGGYGACTGCTCCTGTCTCGTCACCGTCCAGCGCCCAGTGGCGCCTCCTGGCCGACCTGACCTTTGCCTGTCTGTCCAAGTGCGACGGCTGGGGCCRGCCAGGCCACGTGGGCCTCTGTCCTGGAAGGCGGGCTGCCCGCTCTGGCCAGCAGACTGCTCCCACAGAGTCCCTGGCCCGCTTTAGGGCCTCATCACGTCAACGGACAGACCGTCCACCCTGTGAACTGGCCTTCGGGGGACYTCATCATTTGGGCCAGGGGACTGACGGAGATCTGGGTGTCCTGTCCTCCCGAGCAGCTGGGGGCTCTGTGGGCACTCCCACCCGAGACCTGTGGTCACAGGTGGTCCCTGCCTCGCGCTCGGCCTGGTCCTCCCGGACCCAGCACCACAGTGGACTCACCCCTCTGGTCYGCACTCAGGTCTCCTGCCTCCAGGGGAGCCACCAGGGTCACCAGGGTCACCAGCACTGGCCTCAGGTTCCGTTCCTACAAGGTCAAGGGAGTTCTGTCACACAGCGGGGTCCCACCACAGGGTCACAGCTTTGACACTCGGTGCAACGTGACCTTGACCTCTGAGCACCTGTCCCCCTGATCTGGCTCCTGCTGCCGTGGGGGYGTCCTCTCTCTGCACCCCTCTGGGTTCACCAGGACCCTTCATTCCTCCATGTTCCCTGAGCACCTGCCGGGCCCTGGGGTTGGAGGAGCAGCACTGAGCAGGTCAAGCGRCCTCCGGTTTCCCCAGTGCCTTTGCTCAAGCAGTTCCTGGTACCTGGAACGTCCTTTTCTGAACAACTTGGGCCCAACCTCAGGTGCCATTTCCCCCAGGAAGGACCTCTCCCCCGCTCTCCAGGAGGGGCCAGTAACCAAAGCAGGCTGCTGGGATTTGGGGCCTGTTTGTCACACAGCACTGACCCGGCAGAAACGGACTGATACAAACGGGCAGATTCTATCTTGAAGCTCCTGGGTGGTGACACTGTGCACCAACAGGGTTCTGAGGAGRGTGGGCCTGTGCTGAGCAGCTGTCGCCACACAGGTGCCCAGGGAGGGCACGTAGCGCTTTGTGGTTAAAAGCTTATCCCTCGGAGTCCTCACGTCCCAGCCCTGCCACGGATCAGCCGTGGGTGTCACATTGGACCAGGTCCTCAACTCCTGGACTCAGTGTCCTCCACTGTCTCCAGACTTCAGCGAGCTGTCACCAGCTGCTGCTTGGCCCTCTCGGGGGCGGCCTGGCAGGGCTGGCTTTGCCTGGGGACCTCTCTGCTGGCCAGCGGGCTCGGGGTTCTCTGGTGGGTCCGGAGCCCAGGCACCTCAGACCTCGCTCGGCCCGTGAGGCAGCTCTGAGCGTGGACCCTCGGGTCTGAACACGCCCCAGTTCTCCCCTGTGACCTTGAGCGAASGGCCTAAAGCTCTCTGCCTCCGTGTCCTGTCTGTGAGATGGCAGCGGGGACCCCACGTGCCTGGCGGCCGTTATGAGAAAGGGGCGAGGTGGCCCGTGACGACGGAGGGGCCAGGTGCAGCCTCGGGCTCTGCCTGGGGCAGAGGTGACCCCCTGCAGAGCCATCTGCTTCCAGGCCTGGGCCCACACCTACTGTGCGCCAGCGGGACCCTCGGAGCCCTCCCTGGGGTGGCAGGAACCGCGACGGAGTCCCCAAAGCCCAGCTCTACCTCCTTGGGCTCCGCCTGCTCGCGGTCTGGCTCCCTCCAGGAGGGCCGCCAGAGCCCCCTTCCTCCGCAGAAGCTCCTGGTAGGTGCCCATCTCCGCAATGGCCCCGTCGGCCAGCACCAGGACGCAGTCGGCCTGGGGCAGCACGTGGTGCGTGTGGGTCACGAGGATCCGCGTCTGGGCAGGGAGGGGGGTCACACTCCTGGGCTCGGCCAGTCTCTGGGAGTCCAAGCAGGAGGGGGGCACCCCCGGGCTCGCAGCGGGGTGCACGCCCTTCTCCTGTCCCGCCCTCTTTCTGGGAGACATCCAAGGAGAGACAGGAGGGGGTCCTCCATCTGTGTCTCAAAACACGGGGACACTGGGCTCGTTGGAAACTGGCCCGGGACCGAGGCACCGCGGGGAGGTGCTCAGCTTACCACGGGGAGTTGCCATAGCAACCAGGAGGGGACCCCCCGGGACACCCTCATGCACTGAGAACACCCTAAGTGACGCGGCTCAGCAGGGAGGCACACGGTGGAGCCTCAGTTTCCCCAAGGCCGAGGGCATGGCTGGCCAGGAGCAGTGGCTGCCCACCCACCGCTGCCCAGTGACACCAGAAAGGGCTGGGTCACACATCACCAGCCAGGCAGAAGTGCCCCGACCAGAACTCAAAGTGCGGCTTTCTCCGGGCTGCCTGTCCCTTCTGCGCCATCGCGACTTCACCAGAGACGCCCACACTGAGGGCCCTGGGCTCAGCAGCTCACAGATCCTTCTCCAAACCCAGCGAGTCTCAAGCCCCAAAGCAAGTCCCAACGACACCCCGGATTTTAAATACGTTCATCGTGGAAGGGAACAGGGAGTCAAACCGCCAAAGATTGAGCCACGATGCACTTTTGAAGGACCAGTGGGCCGCGGGCGAAATCAGAGGGAAGTGAGAAAATTTCTAGGATCAAGTGGAAACGCATCATCTCAGAACCTGAGGGRCACCGCGAGGGCAGGTGTCAGAGGAAGGTCGCAGCTCTGAGCRCCTGCTCTAAAAAACCAGAGAGACCTCCAATCAACAACCCAGGGGTGGGGTTCAAGGTCCTTGAAAACCAAGAACAGACCCAGCGTGARACCAGTAAAAATAACCAGGGGGTCAGAGCCGGAACTGACCACACCGAGGCTTAAAAGAGCAATACGGGGCGGGGGCTGGCCTCGCACGTGCGAGGCACCGGGCTCAATGCTCATCATCACAGAAAAATGAATAAAGAAAATAAAGATATTGTGTCCAGGTATAACTAAAAAAAATATTTAAAAAGAGAGTGATACAAATGATCAATGAAACAATGACTTGGATCTTTGAAGAGGTAAGGAAGGTTGATAAACCCTTGACCAAACTGACAGAGAGAGAATCAGAGATGTCAAGGGAGTATCACAAGACATCACCAAATTCAAAGGATCACCAGGTTGTCGTTGAGAACTTATATTTCAGATAGATTGGGAAATCTGCACAAAAACTTGATAAATTTCTAGACACACAACCTATTAAGACTGAATCAAGAGAATATTTTAAAAACCCTCAAGAGATCAATAACAATAAGATTAAAGCCCTAATGGGAAGTCTCCAATAAGGAAAAGCTCAGACACAGATGGACTCACTGTTGGGTTTTACTAGATCTTCAAAGAATTCACAGCTAAGCTCCTCAAACTATTCCATGAAATAGGAAAGGAGGAGAGCACTTCCAAACCCATTCTACAAAGCCAGCCATCACCCTGATAACAATACCAGGTAAGGACACAACAAAAAAAAGAAAATTCCAGACCACCATCCTTGATGAACCTAGATGCAAAATTCTCAATAAAAACCTGCGACCAGATCCAACAGCACACTGAAAAGATCAGATGCCATGATCAAATTTGGTTCCATTCCAGGAATTCAAGGATGGCTCAACCTCTGAAATCAATAAGCACGACAGAGTAGTTTTAAAAAGCAGACGATCTCAATAGGTGCAGGAAAAGGCTCTGAACAAAATTCAACATCCCTTTATGAATAAAAGCCCTGAAAATCCAGGTGCAATGGTGTACCCCGTCATCCCAGTGACTCCGGAAGCMGGAGGTTCACAAGTTGGAGGCCAGCCTTGGCAAGTTAGGAAAGCCACTGTGGAGACTGTATGGACGTTCCTCCAAAGCACTAGAAGTAGAACTACCATGTGATCCAGCTCTATTTCCTCAGCACAGACCCAAAGGAATCAGCGTCAGCAGAATCAAGTGAGACACAGTAGCCAAGTGATGAAATCAGCCTAGGGGCCCATCGACAGATGAACGGGTAAAGAAAATGTGGTTTGTGCACGCAATGGAGGGCTATTCAAGTCATAAGGAAGAATGAAATCCTGTCATTTGCAGGAAAATGAATGGAACTAGAGATCRTTGTGTTCAGTGAAAAATAGGCCAGACAGGAAGACAAGTATTAAGTGGATTCTGGGGGTGTGGGAGAGATGAAAGTAGGAAGGAGACCCTCAGAGGAGAAGAAGGGGACCAGGAGGAGGAGGAGGGATGGTAATGGGGGATGGATATGTTTAAAGTATGCTGTCTGCACCTACAAATATTTTGCAATGAAGCCCGTTATYCTGTATAATTAAAATGCACTAATCAAAGAGTGCTGTCATAAACCACTGAGATTGGGGGGGGGGATTCTTTGTTACGTAGCACTGTCACAACAAAAGCTGACCAATACAAAGAGGAAAACTGGACCCAAGGAGCGGGTGGTAGACAGATCTGGGTTAGGACTGAATTCTCAGGGCTTCTGCTCTTGCCCTGTTGATTCTGACATGTGTTCCCAAACTCACTGTTCCCTGGAGAAGCCCACCAGGCCCGATGACCTGGGTGAAGACGTGCTGGCCGACATGGGCATCCAGGGCTGCCAGGGGGTCGTCCAGCAGGTACACCGCAGCCTTTCTGTACACAGCCCGGGCCAGGCTCAGCCGCTGCTTCTGGCCCCCGGAGAGATTCATGCCCTGTGGCCAGAGAGGAACAGGGACACAAGTCTGCACCTGCTGGATGGTGCTGGGATGCGTGGACGGTGCGGGTTGGCCAGGGTAGGCRCAACCCCTGGGTCCTCAGGGCGCCTTTCCCAGCCTACTGCTGGATCTTTCTACACTCGCTGCTTGTCTCTGCCCGGCTCACGGCTCCACTCAGCCGGCTTCCTCCACGTCACCACCTTTGYTGAAGGTGCCCGGCACGTCCCTGATGCCACATCCAGCAACGGTTCTTATTTCTTTCCATTCAGCCAACATCTACCACGCGGCTGCTCTATGGCCAGCTRTGTCCTAGGGCCTGGGGACTCAGCCAGGGACAAGGCCCTGCTCTCTTGGCCTTTCATCGTAACAAGGGTGGGGAGGGGGACAGAGAATCCAAAGCCCAGACAAGGGRCCTGCACGGCGCGTGGGGTGGCGTGGAATGAGAGCTGGGATGCGCACACCGCCGTTCAGCAGAGGGTGAGCCCCCCGTGGCCCCAGGGGGAGAGCTTCCCCGCAGAGGGAGAGCAGGTGCAAAGGCCCTGAGGTGGGAGCGTGCCTCGGGTGTTCAGGAAACATGGCAGAGACCCCGCGACTGGACAGAAGCAGGAAAGGGGGTGGGTACGAGGGGAGATGGGGCAGAGAGACAGGTGGGGCCACATGGCAAGAGGCCTTGTCAGGGACGGTCGGGACTTRGGCTTTGCCTTGAGGGAAATGGGGGGCCAGGTGGGTTCTGTGCGGAGCTGGGAGTGGTCTAGGTGTGAACGGAGCCGTCTGCTGTGGCGGGCCTGGTCAAAGGGGCCATCGGGGGGCTCCCGCAGCAACGCAGGGAAGGGCTGGTGGTGGACGGAGCCACGGCACGTGGGTCTGGGTGCGGGGTGCAGGAGGAGGCGGCTCTAGGCCACCAGACATTTGGCCCAGGATGTGACACAGCTGGACAGAGGTGCCCCCTCCGGTTTGAAGCACTTCTGGGTCTCCCTTCCAGGGGCCTCCCTCTGGCCACTCTCTGGCCTCGCCCTCCTCTCCTTGGCCTCCCTGGGCAGCTCCCTCCTCCCCTGGACTTGGAGTGTCCCGTATTGTTTTGGAGCACTCGGGTCGTACATGACGGGGATCCGCCGTCCMCRGTCCCCYGCYYGCCCSGGCCCTGGAATATGACKYCCGAGGGGTCCCYGACCCAGTGTCTGATCTAGTTGTCYGAAAGCCCCGGCCACTAACCCACTGACCCCTGCCATGGCCTCGGCCTCTCCCTGGCCTGTTTCCAGTCACGGATTCGTTAAGGACCGCGAGCACCCACTGCACCCTTGACCGCCCGCTTCCTGGGCCCTCTGCCCCTCAGCACTTGGCCCACAGGCCAGGGYGGCCGAGGTCCCTCCCCCGAGGTCCCTGTGCCAAGAAGGCGGGCCCCACCTGCTCTCCGATGCGGGTGTGGACGCCCGCCGGGAAGCTGTCCACGTCCGGCCGCAGGGCGCAGGCCTCCAGCACCCTGTCCAGCCAGGGCAGGTCCAGCGGCTGCCTGAAGCACACGTTCTCCACCACGGAGCTGTTCTGCACCCAGGCCTCCTGGGGCACGTACGCCACAGGGCCCTGYGACACAGCTGGTGTGGGTGACCGAGGTGGGGGCCCTTCCAGGGGGAGGGGAGCCGGCCCTGGGGGGGAGGGGGGACGCAGAGCCGGTGCCCATCAGCTCGGCTGGGAGCGGGGGCGCGGGAGGACGTGGGACGGGGCGCTCRGGATGGGGCATCTTAGCAGCCGGGGCGGCCTCACCTTGATGCTCACGGACCCCTCCACSGTGGACAGCTCCCCGAGGAGGGCAGACAGCAGGGAGGACTTCCCTGACCCCACGGGACCCACGACGGCCAGGAGACACCCCTGGGGCACGGTGAGGCTGATCCTGGCCACGAGGAGGGACAGCAGGCAGTTCTCCGGGTCTGGGCAGGATGGGTGGCCCCCGACACCGCGCCTCTCCCGCCCGCCACTCCCTGCGGTGCCCTCCGGCCCCAGGCAGGACGCACAGCTGCCCCTGCACCCTCTCCCCCTGAGTGTGAGGCTGCACCCGGGCGGGGCCCTCTGTACCTGTGCAGGCAGGGGGGGCCTTCCCGGGACCAGGCGAAGGTGCCGTTGTGGACAGCCACGCCGTCCTTCCTGGCGGCTGCAGGGCACAAAGMCAGTCACTGCAGGGTCACTCTGCCCCGAGGCCACCAGCCATGGCCCAGGAGGCAGCRGGAAACCCCCAGAGAGCCAGCCCCGGCCACTCACCAGCTTACGGTGACCCCGCAGGAAGCCACCCCGCCTGCCCTCTATTTGTACGAGAGTTACTGAGACACGCCACGCCCACCCCTTCCTGCTAAGGTGGCCGTGACCACGCGGCCCAGGAGCCACAATGAGGTACAGTCAGGTCTTTGCAGAAAAAGAAGAGTTTTACATGATCGATCACCTGCCCCARGGCTGTGGCACGGGAGGGAGGCGGTGTGATTCCCGGGGACCTGAGTTCTTCAGTCCCTGAGAGACTCACGGGCACCCAGGGAGGACGCCCGATCCAACGGAGAACCCCACTTAAATGTGAACTCCCAATAGAAGCAGAATAGTGTTGTTTTTTTTCTTAGCATACATATGCCCCCAGTATCGCATGGAGCATAATCATAATGAAGGGTTTGTGAGAGAGTAAAATGCAGATTCAGAGTGAACTGGGCATCCCGGGTGTTGGCCTGGGAGTCTGGGGTCCCGCTGGTCATCTGGGGGGGGGGCTTCCCCTCCTCCTTCCCCTTCCGTAAGACTGCTGGGTCCCAGAGGCACTTGGCGAGGGTCATCCGGGGGGGTCAGGGGAGCTGGGGTCTACACCGGGCACTTTGAACGGTGCTGGCCCACGGAAGTGCCCGTCCAGTCTGGCTGCGGGTGTTTGTATTCATCTCACTCTGGCCTAGCTTTGAGAGAGGGCGGCTCTGGCCCCAAGCAGGTGACCAGCTGGGTCAAACCTGTGACTAAAGTAACACCCAGGGGTCTGTGGTCAGTGGCCCTCCAGTGGGGGTGACGGCACGGTCACCAGAGACCCCAGCCTCTCGACGGAGCAGTCCTAATGCCCAGGGGCTGCCATCTCCTGCAGCTCCCCCTGGGACGTTGTGGACAGAGGGCATCTGAGTCCAGGAGGGGAGGAGGTGCTGCCCAGGGCCACACAGCTGGGGCGGACAGCYCAGGACTTGGGTCTGAACTGCTGAGTCACACCCGCAGGGTCGAGCAAAGCTGTGCGCAGCTGAAGGTGTCTCAGAAACGCCCRTCGGGGCTCCTGAGCCGCCGCTGTGCTGTTTCTGGGTTTTTGCAACAATTACTAGTGACTAAGAGCTCTGGGCTCTGGCCGGGTGCYGGGCCCTGGGCTATGGGCCGAACCTGAGCCCGCGGACCCTCACCCCAACCCCAGGGAGCGGGTTCCTGCAGATGGGGGCAGCGAAGCCCCAAGAGGTTGACAGCTAGCCAGGGCCACCTGGCTGGTCAGTGCTGCAGCTGGGATTTGGACCTGGCCGTCCACTGCCATGGGCTGAGCGTCCAAATGAGCAGGTTGACCAGATGCCCGAGCCACACCATGGCCTGGTGACAGGTCCCACCCCACCCCACCCACTGCAGGAGTTGACGTCACCACGACCCACAAGAGGTGGTGAGAATGCCCAGGGCAGAACRGAGAAGCTAACTAGTACTGGTAACTAGGTAACGAGTGCTTGGCGAGTCTCACACTACCATGGTGCCTGAAACTCATTTTCTAGCTGAGCAAAAATGTCACTGTGTCACAGGGCGCCATGGCACATGCTGGTAATCCCAGCAGCTCTGGAGGCTGAGGCAGGAGGATCTCAGGTTCAAAGTCAGCCTCAGCAAAAGCAAGGCCCTAAGCCACTCAGTGAGACCCTGTCTCTAAATAAAATGCAGAACAGGGCTGGGGACGGGGCTCAGTGCTTCAGTGCCCGAGTTCCATCCCTGGTGCCCTCCACACACAAATGTCTCTCTCCCTGGACTGTGAATGAGGGCAAGGACCTGGGCCCAGTGTTCAGTGCTGTGCACCTGGAACGGCACCCCACGGGGTTCCAGGGGTCACCCTGCACTCCCAGCAGGACAGTCCCCCGCGATGCCTGATTTCCCCGTGTCCCCCCAACCCCCACRCCCTCCTGCTGAGCTTGGCCCTCACCCAGGCTGGCGGCCCTCACGTCCTCCTCACTGGGGTCAACTTCCTCCAGGCTCAGGAAGGCAGCCAGACGATTGAAGGACACCCAGGCCTGTGGAAACCGGGGMCCCGGGTCACCCCGCCAGAAGGGCAGGAGCCCAGGTGCCCGGGACGCGTGGCTACGGCGTCCTGTCCACCTTGCCCCGCGGGTTTGCAAGGCGTGAGAACGGAGCCTCAGTGCGCGTGTGGAGGTGGGGACCGTGATGGCAGTGGGGACCTCTCCCACCTCCTGGCTGCTAAGTAGCAAAACTGCGACAATCAAGCGCCCTGAAAAGGTGGTGGCTTTGCCCCCAGCCTCAAGGCAAGATGAGAGATCATGTCGGACTCTGTCCACCGGGGGGCGCCCTCAGCTCCCAACCACAAACCCACCTCTGGGGCCCGGGGGCAGCCCTGGAAACGCAGCGGCTCTGGCGGGCAAGTGCCGCTCCTTCCCCTGTGCCCCGGGAGGCTCAGGACAGAGCGGGCCGCGAGCAAAGCTCGGGATGAAAGGGGACCGGGCAGGGACTCCTGCACCAGGACTTGCCGCGCCCTGGGAGGTCCCCGTCACCCTCTGGGCCCTTTCCRATGGCTCCCGCTACCCTCTGCTCCRTGTCACRCTCCTCTCCCTCCCTCTCCTCCGCTTCCTGCAGGGGTAGCCGGCCCGGGCCCTCCCGCTGGCCCCACCTGGACGAGTAGATGGACCGAGAGGGGCAGGAAGGCCTGGGCCCTGTTGAGGATGCCCAGCACGGTCAGGGTCACGAAGGCCTTCTCCGCGTCCATGGCGCTCTCCTCGGCCACCAGAGTGTGCACCGTGAACACCGCCAGGGCCACCTGGAGGGGCACCGGCGCTGACCGTGAGAYGATGGCCGTGCGGCCTCCAGGGTCAGCGTGGGGTCCCCACCCGGGCACGCCCTCCCCCAGCCCAAGCTCTGCAGGGGACCCGGCGGCGTCACCAGAAACGTGGACACTTGGAAGGACACCAGGGACACGGAGAAGAGGAGGGTGGACGTCCTCAGGGCGCCCAGCTCCTGGCCCCGGACGCGCAGGATCCTCTCCAGGAAGGGCTCCTCCCAGCCGTGGGCCTTGATGGTCCTCATGGTCCTGAGGACGGAGCCCGTGAGCCGCGCCCGGGAGTCCTTCTGCCGCATCTGCTCCTCCTGGGACCCGCGGGAAGCAGAGAAGGGCGAGAGGTCACCTTAGGAGGCAGAATCCCAGGGGACGGCAAAGGTCAGAGGGCGAGGGAGCAAGTGGGGACTCAGCCAGGGACGGGGTGGCTGCCGCTGTCCACCGTGGAAGGGGTCCTGCTCTGGATGGGTGCCCAGGTCCGAGTCGGGGCACAGTCACGCCAGGGCCAGGGCCAGCCAGGCCTGCAGGACCCCCCCACCCCGCGTCTCTGGTGCCAGCATGGGCCCAGGACCCGCGAGCGCCCCCCACTTCCTGATTGGCACGTCCCTGCTCCCAGAGCCACACCTGGTAGTGGCCCTTCTTCTTAGTGATGAAGAGATTCAGAGGGAGGAGGCCCAGGAAGACAGCGACGGCCGTGAGGGCTGAGGGTCCTAGAAGCTGGGGACAGAGCAGGTGGGGGGCACGGGACCCCCGGGGATGTGGTCAGACGTGGGTCCTAACACAGGCAGATGTCAGGGTGGGGGGCTCACGGGGGTCCACAGAGGGGACGCCTGAGGAACATAGGGTCCTTCTGCCTGGGTGGGAGCCAGGTGAGTCACCCAGGTCACCAGCGGGGGCACTGGGCACTGGGCGGACAGTTCCCTTCATTTATAAGGCATTGGCGCCACCCAGTGGCTCAGTGGAGAAGCGTCTAGAAGGCACACGCCTGCACCCAGCGGGAAAGACCCTAAGGAAACAACCGGTATCACCTAACTGTGGCACCCGGAGCCCAGCCCTCCTTAACCGGCACCGCGTGGTGACCCTCTGATGATAGGGACCGTCTCCTAAGGGCTGGGTGACGCACTCCTCGGGGCGGGCACCCGCAGGGCTCTCGGTCACCGTCTCCTTGTTCGACCTCCGTGAATTTCTCCACGTGTCCTCCCTCCCTCCCTCCCTCTCTTTTTATTCTGAATAGAAACATCCAGTGTTTCTATCCTGCACGTCAGGTACTGCCTGAAAGCCTCTGTGTCCTTGCTGAGCACCTGCTGTATGCAAGGCCTTGAAAGACAGAGCCACAGAGAAAGGTCCTTCCCCGGGGACACTGCCAAAATCATGGTGTGCACGGGCACCAGAGGGCATTCAGGAGGATCTGCCCCTCGGGCACGATCCGCATGCCACCCACGGACCCACCCAGGGCCTGTCATCACTGGCACAGGGGCTTTTGTGTCGCCCAGGAGCTCTGCAGAAAGTTCTAAATGGCGTTGACAGTGTGAATCGTTGTGGAACTTGAAGACTGTTGAATGACATGTGACAGTGATGTGGAGTTCAAGGCGCAGCGTCCATAAAGAGAGTTCTGTGTGGTACGGGGGAATGAACCCAGGGGTGCTCTGCCTCTGAGCCTCATCCCCAGCCCTTTTGAACATTTTATTTTGAGTCAGGGTCTCACTGAGTTGCTTGGGGACCTTGCTAAGTTGCTGAGGCTGGCTTTGAACCTGTGATCCTCCTGCCTCAGACTCCTGAGTTGTTGGGGGGTACAGGCGTGGGCCGCCGTACCCGGCCATCACACCCAGGGGTTCAGCATCGCTGTGTTTGCTTTTGGACTCTGAAGATAGAACTGAAGAGTCGAGAGAGTGACCTGCGGCCCCCTGAGACTAAAGTGGCCACAGTCCGGTCCTTCGTAGATAAGCTTGTGAGCCCCCATCCACCCTGGAGCAGGACAGCTCAGCGCTAGATGGCCCCAGGAGCTCTTTAGTTATCAGGGACACCAGCAAGACCCACAGAGCCGCTGCGGGCCTCTGTCCTGTCCTTCACGGGCTCAGGTTGGACACCCGAATCTGAAAATCAAAATGCTCCAAGATCCAGCGCTCTCAGGAGGCTGCCATGGGAGGGTCCACGCTGACCTCGAGGGTCACAGTCAAAAACCAGGCAGACTGAAAATATTGTATGGGCCACCCCCAGGCCACGGGGGTGAGGCGCAACGTTTGAAACCTAAGTGGGTTTGCTGTTTAGACCCGGGCCCTCCCCACGAGATCTCGAAAGGAGTCACGCAGATATTCCAACATCGCAAAGTCCGGCCACCCTCTCCGCCTCGGCCAGGCATTCCACACGAAGGCTGCTCACCCTGCGGGGCCAGTGAAGCCCAGCGGTTCTAGGACAGGGCGCTATTCCTGATGGCCAACTCTTTTTAGATGGGGAAAGGGGCCCATGACCAGGGTAAAGTTTTCCAGTCAGTAAGTGGTCAGAGCAGGATTTGAACCCAGGAGGTACTGAGTTTGGTGGCGCACGCCTGTCATCCCAGTGGCTCAGGAGGCTGAGGCAGGAGGATGGCAAAAGCCAGCCTCAGCAAAAGCGAGGCCCTAAGCAACTCGGGGAGACCCTGTCTCTAAATAAAATACAGAATAGGGCTGGGGATGGGGCTCAGTGGTCGAGTGCCCCTGAGTTCAATCCCTGGTACCAAAATAAAATAAATAAATAAAATGAAAAAGAGTTCTCTCTCTCTCTTTTCTCTCTCTGTCTCATTACTTTTTCTCTTTTTCTTTCTTTCTTTTTTTTGGGGGGGGTCCTTTGGTTGCTCAGGTAACAATCTCTCTCCCTGTAAAAGGGTCTTTTACTATCGTTTTGCTGTGTGCCGGGGTCCGGACGCCCCAGTAGTACTGATACCTTGTGCCCCATCTGCCTCCTGGTGACCCCAAGACCCTCCCCGGGAAGCCTCAATGCCATCGGCAGCGTCTCCACCTTGCCAGAGGGGAAACCGAGTCCCAGAGGGGCCGAGCCCCGTGCGTCCCTAGGGCTTCTCCCTCGCCCAAGCCCCGCCCCTCCACCCAAGCCCCGCCCTCCGTCCAAGCCCCGCCCCTCCGCCCAAGCCCCGCCCCTCCGCCCCACACCTGCCACAGGTAGGCGAAGCAGAGGCAGATCCAGAGCAGCAGCATCCAGGAGCTGTTGAGGTAGAGGACGCTCTCGGTGAGCCGCGGCACGTCCACAGACAGCAGGTTGACCACGTCCCCCACCGCGCTGGCCTTTCTGGCGCTGCTGGACAGGGCCAGGACCTGGGCCGGAGGGACAGAGGGGCTGAGGAGGGAAGGAGCCTGTGAAGTCCCCTGTGCCCACCTCCCGGGGCTGTCCTGGGCATCCAGGTGGAGTCCTTAGATAAGTACACTGCTTCAGCAAGGTCACGGAGGTCATCTGCCAAGTGCCAACCCTGCCCCGGGCTCAGCCATGCCCCATGCAATCCCAGACGCCCAGACAGAGCCCTCTCTGGTTTTGAATCCCCAGGGAGAATATCCCCAGTCAAACTGGGACACTTGAGATGCATCCCGACTGCAGAACTGTTAAAGGGTGAAAGAGACAGCCATCCGGGTCAGGGAGACGCACTCTTATCACCCCACTGGGCAGCCCAGGGGACCGAGGCCCAGAGGGTTGAACAACTTGCTCCAAGTTGGGGGGGGGGTGTAAATGCTGAGCTGGGATTGGAAACCAGGACCAGAAAGGCGTGAGGTGGGCCAGGCGTGATGTGGAACCACGCCCCCACGATTCCACGCGCCTCGGACCCCAATCCTGTTTCCCCCGACCCCGGGGTCACAGTGGACCCCTTCTGGCCTGTTGGATGTCGGACTCTACCTCTCTCTGCTGGTGTGTGAGGGAGAGAGTGAGCTGGGCCGGGGGTGCAGCTCTTCAAGGGACAGCCACCGTGCCCCTCCCTGAGCAGCGGACCGGCTCCAGGGACTGGAGTTCCAAAGGGAAGGACACCCAAGCCTCTCACGGTGTGTTCAAGGGCAGCGAGGGGCAGCCCAAGGGGACAGCGGAAGGCCGGCTCATTCATCCGGGGATCCAAGGGGCTGCCTCTTTAGCTCAGGAAACAGGTGAACTCGGAGACTTGAGAGGCCACACCCAGCTCCGATGCTGAGTGGGACAGGAGCCTGCACAGGGCAGGCTGGCCGGGCAGCAGGCCAGGGCCATCCAGGATGGTGCCTTGTCCCCTCTCTTGCGGGTGCAGCTCAGGGGCTGGGAACACCCTCATTCAGTTGCTGCAGACCCCCCAGAGCCAGGATCCATGGCAGCCGGTGGGCCTGGCCCCCAGGGTCCCCTGAGGGAGCGCGGTCACTGCCCAGCTCTGGCTGCCCAGGGGGTGGTCACAGTGGTCACAGAACCTCCAGGCCACAGCACTGGACAGTGGCCCAGAAGTCACTCCACCCTAAGCAGTGCTGCCTGGTGACAGGGGGCAGTCCACCACAGCCAGAGGCTGTCATGGGCAGGAGTGGACACTCCCAGATGAAGAGGAGGTGGATACAGTGACTGTCACCACCCTGCTCAGGAAACTCAGGTATAGAGGGACGTCCAAGGTCAGGGCTGTGTGTGTGTGTGTGTGTGTGTGTGTGCACGTGCACACATGTGTGTGCTGGGGACTGAACCGGGGCGCTTCACCACAGAGCCACATCCCCAGCCCCTTTCTATGTTTTCCACCTGGGAGAAAATGCTTTGCTAAGTTGCTGAGGCTAGCCTCAAACTTGGGGATCCTCCTGTCTCAGCCTCCAAAGTCACTGGGATCACAGGCACAGGGTCCTGTGCCTGGCTTAAAGTCAGAGGGCTCATGAGTGTCTACACCCGGTTTGGAAACCAGGACCACTAAGGCACCACCCGGCTTAGGCAGGGCATGGAGCTGACCCGGCAGTAGGAATCCCAAGCGCCAAAGCTCCAAGGTGGGAGCACACCTGGCATGTTTGAGGACCTGAGAGGAGAGCAGCGTGGCAGGAGGAGGAAGAGCTGTGTGACGGGATGAGCTTGGAGAGGTCTCAGGGTCAGATCCCACGGGGCCTTACCAGAAGAACCAAGGAGATGGGAGTGCAGGGAGTGAAGACGCAGTGAGTGAAGGCTGTTCTCAGCCCTGACAGGACCATCGAGAGCCCGGGGACACTGTCCCCTCCAGCCTGGACGGGAGGGCGTGAGAGCCCCGGGGCTCACCTTGCGGTACACCAGGCCGGTGATGGCGGTGCGCAGCCTCACCTGCAGCACCTTCACCCTGTACATGAAGTGCTGCTCGAACAGCGTCTGCAGGCAGGCTGCCAGGAACATCAGCGCGGCCAGGAGCGGCCCCTTCCAGCCGGGGGCCTCGGGGCTGTCCATGAACTCCAGGAACAGGCTGGGGGGGGGGGGCAGCGGATGAGGCCGGCACCCGCAGCTGCCCGCCGGCCCAGGGGCGCAGACCCTTCCTGCAGAGGGCAGTGCCCCCTCCTCGCTCCTTCCCATCAGGCCTTGGGCTCCTCCTGCAGAGCTGAGACCCCCCACCAGGGGGCAGTGCCCCCATCCTCGCTCCTTCCCATCAGGCCTTGGGCTCCTCCTGCAGAGCTGAGACCCCCCACCAGGGGGCAGTGCCCCCTCCTCGCTCCTTCCCATCAGGCCTTGGGCTCCTCCTGCAGAGCTGAGA